TGTACGTTTTTAAAAGCTATCTGGATTTCTTCAGCTCACAGAATTYAGATTCATAGACATTTGAGACTGACTACATTGATTGTCCTATGCCCAGCTGGCATATTTTAAATATAGATGGTCAACAGAGCGTAAATATGTTGTCCATGTGCATTCTGACAGCACATACATCAGAAAAAAAAAAAAAGTTTCAGTAAAAAGAACATGAAGCAATTGTCACAAAAACATTTTTATACCACAACTAGTCATCTGCCAGCAAGTTGCCAGAAACAGTGTTAAAAATACTGTATATATTCAGCTCAAAGTGTGTTTACATTTGCAATATGTTCTTTTATGTGAAAGAACAGAGACAGAATAAAAGGAGAATCCTTCCCTTGGTAATGACTATTTTAATATGTCTGCCCAAAGCTTTGTAAATAATGCAGCACTGTAAAATTTAGTCATAAGAAGTAACCATTATTTCTCAATAAAACATAATAATTTTTCCATTTCACCTGAAATATAAATGTCTATAAACATTATATTTATCTCTACTAGCGTTTGTTCTCCTCATGTCCTAATACAAGCAATATGAAGATTTATAACATCTCAGAGAATTACCCTTTAGTATACCTGCTTCTCTGGTTCCACTGAAAGTTGCACTACTGGAAAGGGATTTTTAACCTTTCAGCAGATTGGGTCAAGGTCACAACACAAACAGGACATCAAGACTTTTTTTTTGATTGATTGATTTTGTAAATATCCATCTTCAGTGGGATTCTGAAAGATATATCAGTGGTCAGTGAAAGATGATACTCATCAAAAAAGGCCAAGAACTCTTTCACAAGATTCTTAATTGTTTTCTTAGAGGAAAGGCATGGTGAGAATATGGGAGAAGAACATTTCCAATTTTGTGTAACTTATTCTTTCTAAATAAAGGGGCAAGTGATTATAAAGTAWTTTTTTTTTATTATACTATCTTGAGAGAGAGCCTATAACTGATGACTGCTGTATTGTCAAGGGACTCTCTGTTCTTACTTATGTATAATATGCAGCCACTGCTTGGCCACAAGATGCGAGTGATGCTCCTTGTGTCAAACTGGATAATATTTGCATTTCTTTTATTGACCTAGTGAATAACAGTGTGTTTTGTTACTTGCAGTTGGGTGAGATCAAAATATTTTTAAAGGGAGCACGTAGGAAAAGGAAAAAAGCAGCAAACCTAGGATTATACAACACAGAAAACTATTATAATAAAGGATGCCTCTGAGACCTCTTCCAGGCTGGCAAATTTTAATTCTCAGGCCATTTAAAATGAAACTCCTTCTTTGCATTTTTAAGTTAAACATCTCCATGAATATGAAATAGGGAATCAAAAATATGCTTCTACAATTAGCTGCTTGTGAAGTTCTCTTAGAAATGCATGACAGGCCATAGTTCATTCATCAAGTGTGAGCAGACGATGAAGATGTGGCTGAACTTCTGTTGTCTGTAGTGTGGCTATATGTATTTTTTTTTTTTTCTTTTTTCTTTCTATACTCCCCAATCTTTCTATACTCTAAACAATTGTATAGTTTATACTGTAGTTTGTAGTTGCAGGATCTACTGCACATCATAATCTGGAACAGGACATGTTAAAGGACTCTCATGTTACACATAACAGGTCATTGAGGTACACGGTATTGAGTCATAGCAATGAGTATCCAACCTACTAAAGATTCAATGAATTCAGGTTTAAAAATGTTTGCGTATAAAAAGAACTTGCAGAGCTTCTAAGCACAAAAGTAAATTACTTTTCTTCATCTCCTCTTGACAAGSTTCAGATACATACTACTCCATTTTCACAGAAACTGTCCTAAACTCAGGTTATGCTGTAGTTACAGAATGTTTCTCATGTCCCTGATGACAATGTGCCACTCTGCAAAGAGATGCCAGAAGACGTAAAAGTCAGCTTCAACAAACCAACTTTTTTGTTGTTGGTGGTTTTTTTTTTTTTTTCCTATTTGAGAAGAAAGGTAGATGATTCTTGTTTCCTGCTGCAAATAACATTGGAATATGGACATTGGAAATAATATTATACTGTTGCTAATAAATATACAGTCCTGGGAACAGGGAGGTCTAAATTTCCAGCTCCATCCTGAGGACTATTCCAGATTTCAACTASATTTTTACATTTAGAAATACATAACCTTAAATAAATAATTTGAAAATAGCTTGAATCTGATCACATTTTTTTTCCTAATGCATATAATTATTTCAAAAATAGATAAATAAAATTATGTAATGATATATATGAGAATAGTCATAACACTGAATTGAAAAGTTTACTTAAATTGTCAATAGTAGTTAGGTAAGATGGCTTTTACTGAGTCACTGGTAGGTTAGTYTATTTTGCTTCTTCAGTAAAAGCCCAGAAGAAGTGGGAATAAATGGCTATTAATCAAATAGGAGACAGTATTTTTATTTTTGCAAATACCATAGGGAATATTATAATACAAGTTTATTCCATAGAATTAATGTTCTGAATTTCATCATGATGAAGTGAGTCAGTAAATGGCAAAGCAGATATGCAATGTGATATTTCATCTACCAAAAAAACCTGAATTTTTGCTTTGCATATGCAATGTACATATATTAACAATGTGATAATTGCTTGTGTCTATAGAGTTTTGGGCTGGCTACGCTTGAAATACTGTGATCAGTTCTGGGCATTTCTATAATAGGAATGTACTGAAAAATTGAAGGCTGATCTGAGAAGTATCCTAAACTGTATTCAGGGACTTTGAAAGAAGAGTGAAGATCAAAGATCAAAGAAGAAGATCAGAGAAGATCAAAGATCCTATACAGTACACATTAAGGAATGGAACAACCAGATCACTGAGCAACATTGAAAACCTGACCAGCATAAATACCACAGTTAACTCAGCACTCAGGCTTTTTCTGAAAATATTTAATCTAAATATTTCCAGTCTAAACCAGTAAGCACGAACATTGATGTAGATTTTTCAACAGATTAGAGAAAGGAAAAATATTAAATTAAAACTGGTCCTAATATTCCAATTATAGTTATCACAAAGCTTCATGGATGAGAACTTTTACCTCCTTAATTATGTATGCTCTGATTTTGTATATGAAGATCAAAAATGAATTAGGAAAGTCACTTTGCTTGTAAGAGTGAAAGATCTGATGTTTTGAAGAAAGAATCCTTCAAAGGAAAGTGGGAGGAACTAGATAATAAGCTTTTCAAAGCTTTTTCCAAATGTAATTACACTAAGGCCAACTTAATGAGAAACAAGTTAGCATTCGACAAATGGAGATAGTGCCTGGCCTCGTCTAATGAAAGGAGGATATCTGTAGTGTCAGCATCTCCCTCTGTCAGATTGCCATAGAGTACCTCCCTAGTCAATAGAGACCAATCATTGCAATGAAAAGAGGGTATAGATCTACCTCATCCCCAGTAGACTCTATGTTGTCTATAGAAACCAGGTTTCAATTTACTATAAAGGCAGTTTAGGGTGAGTACTTTTTATACAGACTTCACCCTCCAGACAGCTAAGGTCAAGATGCTGAACCTGAGAGAGCTGCTGAACCTGAGTGAATAGCATTATTGTATATTAAAACTTTTGTTTATGGGTTAAACAAGGCAAATTTTTTTCATGTTCTCTGCCTTAAAACTAGAAAACAAAATGTCAGGGGAGAAATCGCAGGGAAATTATTATGAATATAAATGCTTTTCAGTTAGTAGAGCATCAATGGAACTAATATAGAATCTTGGATGTTTTCCTTTCAGGTCAATTGGCTGCAATCTGGCTTCACTCAACTACTCCCTACGTGTTGAGATCAGATATTCTCTCTGAACATGCTCAGGTCAGTCCTGTTGTATTACTGTATGCAAGGTTATAGGTTATATTATGACAAGGGAGTCTTTGCATTACATTTTTCTTGTAAAAGGAGAACAGTAAAAATGTCTATACAGGTCATATTTACTCAGACAGATGTATTGCCAAGTGTTCATGCTCCTGTTASAGTACAGGAGCAAATGTCTGCTTCTTGAGATGACTTTACAGCAGCCAAATTGTAAAAACCCTTTGGGGCTTATGACTCCAAAATCTGCAGAAATTCAATTTAAGCTGGAACAGCTATGTAAGTAAATAAGTTATGCCATAATGGCCTATTAGAGTATAACAATATGTTGCCTTTTAGATAACTTTCAGTTTGCTAATTTGAAAATTGCAACCATATGAAAGCCTTCAGAGTGACAGCACATTTGTTTGTAGTCCAATATTTGAATATGGCAAATACTAGTTCTATTAAGTTATTGTAAAGCTAAGCATCTAAATCAGACACATTTTCTTTCTGCATGAACGCAAGGYGTAATGCTCCATACTTTGCTGATATCTGCATGATTAACTACTTTTGTTTTCTATTTACCACTGAAAGTGATGTTCTTGAAACCCTATCTGAAACCTTCCAACTTCCATTCAGGGACATTTCTCCCTGAATAATGACCAAAGAGCAATATATGTCAGGAATCTCTGAGGACCCCAATTTTTAAAGTCTCATTAGTAGTGTCTTAATTAGATGTCACCCAGGTTGGCATTGACATGTTAAGCTTATATGGAATGCACTGGAGGGCAACTGATGTGCTCTCAAAATGTCAAATAATGTATTCAGCTTCCAGAATTTATGATACTTTTGCCAGAAAATCCTGGTCTAAGTTAAAGAAAATGGTCTTACCTTCTGTCCTGCTTTAGCTCTCTTAGCGAGCTCTGTGGTTTTCCCTTTATTTCTAGGGGAAAAGAATGTCAATTCTAAACATTTAACATAAGAATACTCCTCTTTAGAAATGCATTGAAATTGCATTTCTGTAAAAAGTATTTCTACATATATATATATATATATTTATATATCCTTTCATTTCTCTTTCAGACTTATGTATTTGTATCTTTATATGTGATTATATATTTACATATCTGTATGCAAAGAGCAATATACTTATGTATGTTAGAAAAAGCAGTGAAAAACTGCCTTGCTGAATTTACATAATTGGAAGCTCTAAGATTATTAAGAATGTGTGTCTGCTTTGTTACTATCGTGATCCTAGCAGAAATAAATAATTTGTTTTTCCTAGCCTACTTAGTGAAAAGTATTCTTAGCAGAAAAGTTATCTTGGTAGAAAAAGTATCTTACTGATCCTAGCAGAAATAATTTGCTGCTTCTAGCCTACTTAGTGAAAAAAAAAAATGGTAGTGTCTGTCTTCAGTAGGGGGTTGGACAAGATACCAGAGGTATGAGATACAGAGGTTTCATTCAGGCTAAATTATTTTGCGATAGCCCACACAAGCATGCATGGACATGTGCATGCATACACTTTTCCTAAAGAAAAAAAAAAATAATTATAGAAAATCCTTGGCAACAARGAGTTTACATGTTCCTGGTGGCTTGATAAAATGGAGGAAAAAATTCATGCCCATCTAAAGGAAGGGTATATACAGAACAATATCTATACATTATATCATTATATATTAATATGATATGATATGATATAAATTATATAACAATATAATAATATGTAATATATATACAACAGAACTATCATCAAGTTTTCAGGTAAGTAGAGAGAAGATGCTTTATTCTGTGATGAGCAGATCACAGAGCCATTTTTCTATGGCTCGGCAGGAGAAACTTTTCTACAGAGAAAGAAGTCCAAAAAATCTGGACAACATTTACTTTATGTTATTGCTATATACAATTTGAAAAAGATAAACATTATTATGATATCCTGTAAGAAAGTCTTCATATAAGAAGTCTTTTGAATTGCTTCAAACTCTGATTCTGTGYCTATGTCAGTAGGAATCTTTGCAACTAAATGCATGTTTGATCTATCTGAAAAAAATGTGGAGTTTATAATTTATTTTATGTCCTCTGAGATTTTACAAAACAATTTTATAAAACTTGAGTCCTATTTTTTATCCTATGAGCCCTATGCTATTTTTTTTCTCCAGTAAATATAATGTAGAACAACTAAAATTAAAGTTAAAAAAATCCCCAAAATTTCTCCAAAGATGTCATAAATGAGACCAGCATAAGTTACAGACAATAGAGATACAATACAAAGCTACATTCAAAGGTTTGTGATGAAAAGCTTGTTTAATCGCTTTTTTTCTGRGTCATATTTGAACCCTACTGATTTAAAATTTCCCCAATAGATTTTTTGACTGTGGATCAGTTGTCCCTTACACAGACTGATCATACACTCTTTGAAACTTTTGATCAGTAGTGTTCAAACTACTTAGGAGAWGGTATGTTACTTAAGCAGTAAAGTAGTTCAGACTACTACTAACATATGATTCACAAAAACCATATTACTCCATGTCCACTCTGGTTTTGTCATACGCAGTGAATAAAATTGGTTATCAAAGCAAGGAAAAGAAGTTCCTAGTGGAAAAAAAAAAATGTATAAATGATAAATTAAAAGTCAATTGAAAAAACTGAATAGAACTACCCTCCACCTATGCCATCAACATCTGTTGACTAAGTCGGGCAGTAACACTCCGTGATTAAAAGTAGTCTGTTGTCAAGCCCTGAGTGGAATACCAGCTGGCATGAAAACACCTATTTTCTAATAAAGAAGATGATACTCTTTTACAGGAGATGTAGTGATGTGTTGCCAATATTTTGAGGGGTTTCCACTCAAAATATATGTTCCTTACTCTGTGATAAATTCTTTTTTTAGTGAAGACTTTTATTACAGAGAGTAAAGGTAAGGTAGTGGGAGGCATGTTAGCTTATTTGCTTTCTTAAACAGAAATATGTTATTGGAAAAATAGCAAAAGAAAGAAGCAATTCACTATTTGATAAACACCTAAGCAACACTAAGTTGAAATTKCTTGTCATATGGCTTGTTCCTGAAAATACCTCTCATATATTGATCTAATACAACAACTGTCACCTGATATGGTTTATAAGGTCAGAGATGTTAGGACAATAGTTAGCACAATAAATCAGAATCTATTTGAGCATAAGAGCCAAAGCAAAAATATTTAGCTGTTCTGTGGTAGCAATCATGAGATTGGGGGTGCAATAGGCTTCTCATTGCTTCATGCCTCAGTCAAGTAATTGCATATACARTGCTCTGCTTTTTCAAGAAACTGATTAAACCTAACACTGTAGTTGGAAAACTCACGCCAAAGAAAGAGAGAAGGAGGCTTTYAACATAAGGTACCTCTCCCTCTTGCAAGTACATCTCTCAGAGACTAGAAGGAGCCTCTCGGAGCCTCTTGGAGACTAGAAGGAGCCTCATATTTTTGACAAAATATAAAAAAATCTCATTTCCCTGCTCTGAGGTTGACAAAGATACATCTGCAATTTAAACTTGGCTCAAATCAAGTCTTGTCACTGTGGCAAACTGACCATCTACCCATTTTCTTTGCCAAAGTGAAAACACTGTGTTYTTACTACTTGATTATTTAAACCTTTATATGGGTAATAGCCTGGCTTCTCTTTAGAGCAGTGCTACTGCCACCGCAGCTAGAGCTGCTGTTTGGGGACTTGACTAACAAACCTTGAGGTAAAATCTTCTCTAGTCTTCTCAGATTGCAGTAAATTTACCATCTACCAGAAGAGCTGTTGCAGCCTTTCACACAGAGACTTGTTTCTTCTGTTGGACAACCATCTGCTACACATGCTGTTATTACTGAGTTTTCACCAGCTATTCCAACAGATTTTCAAAATCTAGATGACTTTTGGGGCAGGATAAACTGTTGCACTCATTCCCCTATCTAGTCCTTTTAGACAGTCATAAATTCAGCCAAGCAGAAATCTGTAGTGAGATGCTTACTGAGAGTTATTGCTATTTTATAGCTTAATTAGTATGGTTAATTATATTTTGTAATTATACCATGTTTTGTTTCTATAAACAGAGAGGTCACAATAACGGTAATCAGATCTACTGTACAGTTTAACTAATGGCTATGTAATTTTGCAGTTAATTTATTTTTGTAATTTTAAGGCAATGTACTGTCAATAGAACTTGGATTGTGATTGGCCTACCTTTTTACCCATTTCCCAATGCAACCTCTTTCTTTTAAGGTTTRTTGTTATATTCACCAGAGATTACTAAGTTCTATTTTTGCTCATTTTTTTCCCATAGTCCCTTAAATCATATATAGACATCTAAATATTATGAAATGGTTAATTGATGAATTTCATTTACTCATCTACTTAAGAATGGAGAAGTATGTCCAAGAAATAGAATATTAATACACATACAGCATTTGGTTTAGTCTATCAGAGCAGGTGTCCTTTTTGTTGCTCTATTAATTTTCAACTAAAGCATCTTTTTTGTGTGTTATGTACACTTTTAATGCTGACATGAACAAATTGTTTGGCCTATTAATAAAAGATGTTGCTAAAATAACTAACTTTTAAAGTTAGCTTCTATTTTATCAGTAGAAAAAGTAATGTTTTTGCATCTAAATGCACTCTGATGAATACACCTGCATAAAAATATGTTTTCTTGATGAATCTAGGCATATAAATGTGAATTTGATTCAAAGCTGGGAGTAGGATTTTAATCACATGAAATTCTAAAAGTTCAGGTGACATTTTCAATTGCTGTTTCAGTACTATTCTCTTGATTATTTTGATCACTATCAGGTCTTTGATTTCTTGGTTATACAGCAGTGGCTAATCTGACACATTCTTAATTTGCAAATTGAAAAAGAAATTTAAATTCCATGAACCTAACCGAACTGAATTTGCAACATGTGCTATTTAGCCTTTTAAGGAAAGATTTTTTTTAATAGTGCTATTTATTTTTTTTACAATCACATGAATGAGTGAATGATTCAAAGAAAATGCATCAA